ATTTTATATACATTAACACAGGCTCTAATTTGAGACCAGAGAAAATCCCTCTTATATGCGGGTTTCTCTTATATCCGGGTTTGGTCTATTTTATATACATTAACACCGGCTCTAATTTGGGACCAGAGAAAATCTCTCTTATATCCGGGTTTCTCTTATATCCGGGTTTGGTCTATTTTATATACATTAACACAGGCTCTAATTTGGGACCAGAGACCATCTCTCTTATATCCGGGTTTCTCTTATATCCGGGTTTCTCTTATATCCGGGTCTCTTATATCCGGGTTACACTGTATTCTAGATGTTTATTCTTATTATTGTTCCACATGTTTATTTCGGTAGACAATGATTTATTCATTTTGTGACGTACGGTGACTGTTAATTGAGGAAAGTATAACTCAAGGTTACTTACCTCACCTCCCCGCGAGGCAGAATATGGCACAAGGCCGTTTTTAATGCGGGGTTAAAAACGAGCCCGTAGGCCCGTGCAAAAATTCCCCGTAGAACCCATATACACGGGGTCGGGTAGCTTCCTACACAGCCTCGTCTGGATTCCTCTCTGCCCGAAGGCAGAGAGTTCGACGAGCACAGCCGGAGACGAATCTCCAACTAATTGCCGAAGCAACCCCTAAGTATAACTCAAGAGTTCAATGTTAAAATAAAACAGTATTTAATTATAACTTCAAATAAATACTTAACAATAACAAAGAAGTAAAAGTCAACTAAAGTTAATTAACCATTTCAGTAAATACCTTAGGTAGTTCGGCTTAATGTCTGGTAAGTCCTAAATCAAAACCCAAAACATCGACGCACAATAATTCACACTAATTCGACTGGATAGTTCCACTCAATAATCACTGCAGTCAGTAGCCTGACAACGCTATTTACACACCTAACGGAAAACATATTTATAAATGCAGAGTGTCACGCTCGAACCTCGGTGTCGGTAGTTACTCATGCTCTTCCTATATGACAATTCAAAAGCTAGATATAAACACCAACATTGCCATAAAATGTTTATTAGGACAGGTCATTTTTGTAATCGTGGCATTGCTCCCAGTTGTGTTCTAACATGCTTTTAATACTAACACAAAATATGTTTTCCAAATCTTTACCGCTTTTGAGGAGACTAGATTAAAGATTATGCTTTAATTCAAAATCGTAGCGTTGGAATTTCATTCCAGTGGTCAGTAAAAGCCTTATAGCACGGCTTTATAAAATTTATAATTTACTGAAGCTTTAAAAATGTTATTTGGACAACGAGCATAGCACAAGCACATTATTGCTAAATCATTTATGTCATCAAATAAGACCTTATATAGTTCAAAGGAAAAACTCTACTGAACAATGTAGATCGATTATGATGTAATATATACCCCTAGATAAAATCTTAAGGCCAGATACAAAATGTTTTAAAAAATATATAAAATACTGTTACTTTAATTGAATTTTATTTGCGAAACATTTAAATTTAATTAGAAAATGTAGTTTATGAACAAACAAGTGATAATTTTAAGCTTGTAACTGATTGATTTGGTTTGGATTACTTTGTTTTACGGAATATCATCATCAATGGGTTATTTAATGCCGACAGCATTTTTAAGATAGATTCGTATGAATAGAATATGTATTCTTTGATTTAGATTGGTTTGGTTTATTTTGTTTTACGGCATATCAACCTCAATGGGTTATTTAATGCCGACAGCATTTTAAGATAGATTCGTATGAATAGAATATGTATTCTTTGATTTAGATTGGTTTGGTTTATTTTGTTTTACGGCATATCAACCTCAATGGGTTATTTAATGCCGACAGCATTTTTAAGATAGATTCGTATGAATAGAATATGTATTCTCTGGTTTAGATTGGTTTGGTTTATTTTGTTTTACGACATATCAACCTCAATGGGTTATTTAATGCCGACAGCATTTTTAGGATAGATATATTTCTTGTTCCCTGCATGTATTTTTCATGTTTCATGCACGTATGTTTTATGTTTCATTCAAGTTTCATGCATATATTTCATGCTTCATTCATGTTTAATGCATATATCTTTCATGTTTGATGCACGTATATTTCACGTTTCATTCATAGTTCATACATATATGTTTCATTCATGTTTCATGCATATATGTTTCATGTTTCATTTATGATTTCTGCAAGTGTGTTTCATTCATGTTTCATGCATATATGTTTCATGCAGGCACATACACATTATAGCATGTCCATTTTTTACTTTTTAAGAAAATCAACAGTCCATTCGATTTATTTGTTAGGACATTGGTTAGTTCATAATTAATAAAACCAAAAAATAGATAAATGCATATATAACACCATAATGCTGCCGGGCACAAATTATATGATAAAATGTTTTAAATTTGCATTGTTTATTGAAAATCCACACTAAAGCTACTACACTGTATAACATATTACATCATAATATAGTTAAATTGTTCAGTATTAAGGATAATGCGCTGTAGAATATATTACATCATAATATAGTTAGATTTCAGTTTATCTTTCCTTTGAAGTAAATGAAGGTCTTATTTGATGGCATAATGATTTAGTAATAATGTGCTTGTGTCATGCATCTTGTCCAGATACAATTTGTAAAGCTTCAGTTAATTATAAATTTTATAAGGCTTTCAGTGTTCATTGGAATTAAATTCCAGTGCTACGATTTTGAAGCTAAACTTAATCGTTAAACTCGCCTCCTCCCCAAAAATGAATAAGATTTGTTATATCATTTGTTAGATAATAATTAATACAACCAAAAAAAATAGATAAAAGTTTACATAACACCATAATAGTGTTGGGCACAAATTATAAGACAAAATGTTTTAAATTTGCATTGTTGATTGAAAATCACACTAAAACTACTAAAATATAACATATTACATCATAATATAGCTAAATTGTTCAGTTTAACTTTCCTTTGAAGTAAATGAAGGTCATGTTTGATGTCACAATGACTTAGTAATAATGTGCATGAGCCATGAATTTCGTCCATATACACTTTATAAAGCTTCGATCTATTATAAATTTTATTAGGCTTTCACTGTATATTCCAACGTTAAGATTTTAAACCTAAACTTAATCATTAAACTCGTCTCCTCACAAAAAGTGTTACGTTTGGGGACAAAATATTTTATGTCTTTATTTATCGTGTTAATCTCCAACTTCCAAATTGAGTGCAATACCAGGATCCCCAAATCTACATGACCTCGTACCAACCTCTTCGCAGATGTGCTTGTATATGCGCATGATCATTGTCTAGGAAGAGATTGAATAGATTAGAACTCACAATTTCGCCTCGTCCTTCTTCTGATGACATTTGAAACGTTTCGGTATTGGGTTCATCGCCAGATATGTACGACGGTGTGGACCGATAGAGTTTCTCTATCAGACCTAGTCATGAGATGTCGCCAATAATCGCATTAATACTTCTGATTAATTCTATGTGTGATTATTTCTTTGTATGTAAATCATATGCTGCCTAATGTTTTATGTTTATTATATATATATATATATATATATATATATATAATTATTTATTTAAAATATATGATTCCATCGTTACAAAAAGTTTTCATGTTTCAAATAAAAATAAAACTTCAATATAATTACTTGATTAAATTGAATTAGTACCAGCTCTGTTCCATTTTCAAGCGAATTTTTTTTTGAATAACTCAAAATTATTCAAAAAAGAATTTCGCTTGAAGATGGAACAGAGCTTAGTACTTTAATTCAAAAAATTATATTGAAGTTTTCGGCTCTTGTTTTGAAGCATGAGAACTCTTATGTAGCGATGGAATCATATGTTTTAAATAAATAATTATATTTAGGCTCTACTTTTGTATCGAGCACTGTTTTTTTTTTTAAATAATAACAAAAATACTAAAGAACATTGGATCATTTACCGAACGAGTTCTTTCCTATTTTCTATATATTTTCACACACACACGCACACACACACACACACACACACACACACACACACACACACACACACATATATATATATATATATGATATTACGATACGTCATTTTGTATAATGTTATATATGGAAACAGTATTTAGAAAAAATATGATAAACTGGAAAGGTTTTTTTTTTTTTTTTTTCGTGGACTGGGCTTTGTTCATGTTGTCACGTCTACACATGCGCACGAAACGGGAGACGCAGCTAGTTTCAAAATTCCTGAAAGAACTATTTTTGAAAGAATATTTTTTTTAATTTTTTTAAAAGAAGACGGACAAAAGAAAGACAATACAGATGAATTTGGCTAAATTGAGAAATAATATTCTATACTATTATCACGACTGGCTCTGTCGAAGTAAGTGTTGTGTTTTCCAGACCAAGCATCAAAATAATTTCTTGTCTGAGTTTTATAAGGCAAAGTGACCTAATCATTTTATGCGTTTTTCTGATGTCTTCCATTTTGTGTTCCGCAGGCGAAAATTCAAGAAGTTTTGTAAATGGACGACAGGAAAGATACAAGGGAGCATACTTAAGTGTTAAACAAAAGGTAGGAAGGTGTGGAGAGCCATGACCATCAACGTCCTGATGAGACATGAATTATAAAAAAAAAAGAATCTCATATAATAATAATAATCAAATATTGATTTGTGCTTTTTTATCGACTTTTTGCAGGATATTTAAAGCCAGAAAATATTTTTAGATTGTAAATATCTGGTGTGGAAAGATAATAATGATTTAGTTATACAAGTCTTACTAATTAACCTATATCTGGGGGAGAAGAGATGGATTCAGACACTTCGAAAGGTAATGAACAGCCTCGACGTTGCATAACCTTGATGCTCGCATTGATATGTCGATAAGCTATACCACCCGCCCGTCCAAGTTTACAGCAGCTAGGATTCTCAAGAAGTCACCCATCTAGATACTGACCAGCCTGAACGTTGCTTAACATTGGTTAACGTACATGAGCCAATATTTCAAAATGATGTAGCCGTAAGACTTACTACACGCACATCCAGGATTGCATCACCTGGTATTCCCAAACAGTCCCCCATCTCGGTACTGACCAGGCTTGACGTTGCTTAACTTCGCTGAACGTACGTGAGCCAATATTTTAAAATGATGTATCCGTAAGACTCGCTACCCGCACACCCAGGCTTACATCATCTGGTATTCCCAAACAGTCCCCCATCTCGGTACTGACCAGGCTTGACGTTGCTTAACTTCGTTGAACGTACGTGAGCCAATATTTTAAAATGATGTAGCCGTAAGACTCGCTACCCGCACACCTAGACTTACATCATCTGGTATTCCCAAACAGTCCCCCATCTAGGTACTGACCAGGGTGAACGTTTCTTAACATCTGTGATCGTACGTGAGCCAATGTTTCAAAATGATATGGACGTAAGCCTTGCTTACCGGCACATTCAATCTTACAGTATCTGGTATTCCCAAAAAGTCCCCCATCTAGATAATGAATAGGCTTGACGTTGCTTAACTTTAGCGATCGTAAGGTGCTTCGACGTGATACGACCGTAAGCCTTGTAATCAATCGGATTTCTTCTTTAATCACATATGACAAAACAACGAATGTGTCCTTTGGAATTATTTTCTTTGGGTGTTTTCGGAAAAGAAATTTAGAATGGCAGCTTTTTATCCGCTACAGTTTCATTTTGTTCCATATTTCTTCCTTGGATTTTTGTTTTCTTCAGAAAACGATTTCTTTACTTCTTTTTTTTTTTTTTTCATTCAAATTCCACGATATATATATCGATTTTCCCTGATGCTGGCTTTTACAACAGAACCATTATAAACTTCCCTGACAGAAAATCAATTGATTCAATGCCAGGTTCTATTTCGGTGGAGATTGCTATTTGCCTATGGAATCCTTATCTGAATTCGTGATTTTTCAAGACCTTGTTATCTTCAGTTTCATTCCAGTAGAAGATGGTGAGCGAAAGAGTAGACGGAAAAAAAAAAAATACAATAACGTTCATAATTTACCAAAACCCAGAACTTCTCTTTGAGCTTCCTGAAAGCGATCGTTTGCATTCGACAGACGACAGAACATTTGATGTGCAAAGTGTAACAGAAAAATTGTCCAAATCTTGTAACAGCATAACTGTCCATCCCACAAAATTTTTTAATATACCCCCACCACTAATCTGAGTTTCTTTTTTCCAGATCTCTATCTATAAAAGACAGGATGCACGCGCGCGCGTGTGTGTGTGTGTGTGTGTGTGTGTGTGTTTGTGTATCTGTGTGTGTGTAACGAATGCACGGTCGCAATTTTCGACGGATTTGCGCCAAAATTTACATGCACATGCTCCAAGTTAGCGGGAAGGCCAACACCGACTTTGTATTTCCCAACTCCCATCGATAGTTGAAATAATCAATTTTTTCATGCTTCTACGGCAGTTTTCATGTAGTTTGCGGCCATTTTCTACTGGCCAGAGTGAGAGCCTATAGCTGGCTGCCACAAATATGCAGGAAGATTCTATTGGCTAGCGTGAGAGCCAACAGCTGACTGACAGGAATATTAACTAGCATGCTAGCATGCAAAAAAAAATCGATAGCTACATTCGTCACATGTGAGAAACATTTAAATCTGCATGCCACTTTACTCCAATTGGCTCATTCGCTTGCTTAAACTCAACGTTGATTCCGATTCCGCAGAACTGGGTCGGGTGTGAAAAAGTATTTGTTGTTAACATTCTTTTTTCATTCGGTTTTTCCAGTTACGAGTCCTTTTTTTTAAAGCTGATCGTTTTGTGTTCATTTTGTTTAGTTCTTTTTTCGTAACAGATTTAATGTTTAGTATAGAGCTTAGAAAAAATTCGCAGTCTGAGATAGGCAAGAAGTAAGGCATGTAGCAACATCAGCACGGCAAAGGGCACTCCTTTAAAGGCAAGGAAGGGCAAAAATATTTTAAGTCGAGTGATAGCGATTGCTGTATGAGTCGTACGATTTTTGAATCAAGCACGGGCAACGCCGGGCCATGCTGCTAGTCTTCATATAAGACGTTTAGCCATCTTGACATCATTTGTTGTAAGAATCAATGAAAATTCCTTTGAGTTACTCAGCTAGAAAAAGAACAGGTTAAAATCGTTTCGTGTCAGATCCACTGGCTTCCAAGATGAGCAAAGGTGAGAGGAAAAAGATCATTAAGGTCTTCAGTAATGGTACCAACATTCATATTCTGGTTTCCATCTTCAAAGTCCATTCAAGAACTACCAAGAGAACGGTAAATAAGATTTAGAAAGAGGAAAAAGTAAAATGAAAAACTAGATCAGGAGGTCACAACAGGGAGAGGGATCATCATTTCAATTTAGAACTAAAGAGATCTATTAGAAAAGATCCAACTCAATCTACAAGACACGTGAGAGAAGAGTTTCAGCTATGAAAGTCTAAAAAGCAATACAAAAAAGACTTGAAAATGAAATCGTGCGGGAAACATGTTAGGCACCTTGTTACTCCATGACTAAGTTAGAGAATGCGTAGTTTATCTTGAATAATTATGAAGATGATTCTGGAATATATATATATATATATATATATATATATATATATATATTTGAACTTTATGTCAATCCTTCATGAACTTCCGATCTATATCTATTAATTAATGATGAACGTCATTTTCGTTTATGATCGATTTCTTCACAATTCTTCTGTTAAGAAGTAGTTATAAAGTCTTATTGCTCAAATTAAAGTCAAATAGTGCTATAAAAACCTCCGAGTATTACAGTAAGATATCTTTCATCATTTCTAAGATACAATGGTTCAGAGCTTAATCTAACATTTGGACAATGTTGATGTTACACTCTTTGGACAATTTTGCTGTGACACCTGGCATAACAACTGTTGAAACTAAGTAAAATAAAACCAATAGATTGCGAATATAGATTTTAATTTTTATGAAACTTAGGAAAGGTAATAGAATGTTTTTTTTTTTTATCATTTCACCCCAAGCAAGGAGTTAGTGTCACTAAGATGTACGAGGTTACTCTGAGTGAAAGTGAATGGAAATAATATATATCGTACAGTACCTGGAATTCTCAAGCAGTCACCCATGTAGGTACTGACCAGGCACGACGTTGCTTAACTTCGATGTTCGTACTTGAGATAATGTGTCAGACTGATGTGGACATAAGCCATGCTACCCGCAAATCCAAGCTTACAACACCTGGAATTCTGAAGCAGTAATCCATTTTGGTACTGACCAGAGTCGACGTTGCTTAACTTCGGTGAGCGGACGTGAGCCAGTGTTTGAAAATGATGTGGATGCAAGCCATGCTACCCGCACATCCAAGCTTACAACACCTGGAATTCTCAAGCAGTAACCCATTTTGGTACTGACCAGAGTCGACGTTGCTTAACTTCGGTGGGCGTACGTGAGCCAATGTTTCAAAATGATGTGATCGTAAGCTATGCTACCCTCACATCCAAGCTTATAGCAATTGGCATTTTCAAGCAGCCCCCACCACCATCAAGTTACTGACCAGGCTCAACCTTGCTTAACTTAGATGATCGTACGTGAGCCAATGTTTCAAAATGATGTGGACATAACCCATGCTACCCGAACATCCAAGCTCACAGCACCTGGTATTCGGTGTCGCATTAAGAAAGTTAAGTCCTTGTCGTGTTGTCTGTCATAATTTCGCTGAGTTAACCACCTGATGAGACCTTTGCTGTCGAAACTGCGTTATGTTCGATTCAGGATGCCAGAAGATGGCGATTGGCGTTCCAATTAAATTTTTTAGGTGACAGCAAATATATATTCCAGAATCATCTTCATAATTATGTTTGAAAATGATGTGGATGTAAGCCATGCTACCCGCACATCCAAGCTTACAACACCTCGCATTCTGAAGCAGTCACCCATTTTGGTACTGACCAGAGTCGACGTTGCTAAATACGTCTGGATTATAGAAATTATTTACTCGCAACATGGTCAAGTTGAGGTACAGCTGTACTCGCAACCTAGGCAACATTATCAAAATGTTGAACAAAAGAAATTAAAATCTTAAAGAACATATGATGAGTAGAACTAAGGTCAAAAGAAAAAAAAAAGTCCCTTAAACGAGGTATGTTGCACAGAAGATGTAGTGTACTGTGCCGGGGTAGAAAACGACAATGTCGGTACGAAAACATACATTGGTTGCACTAAAGGCCACTTTAAAAACAGGTGGTATAATCATACGTCGTCATTTAGAATAGCAGATGCAGATTCAATACAAGTCTAGTGAACTGTCATTGGAGATTTAGACATCCGGCCATTAAATGGAGTATTTTAAGAAAATTTAGCGTCTCCTGTAGGCTGTGCCAAGAGGAGAAGTTGTCCATTGCAACAAAGGTGGTGGTAAGTGGTTGAAGGAAAGGTTCGAAATTATGGCAAAATATAGCCACATGAGGAAGTTGACATTTGGATTTTACGAACTTGGGTGAAATTGGAAAAGTAAAATTAATTTTTTTACTACTTCCGGTGTGGCATTAAGAAATTTAAGTCATTGTTGTGTTGTCTGTCATTATTTCGCTGAGTTACCCACCTGATGAAACCTTGGCGGTCGAAACCGCGTTATGTTCCATTCAGCGTTTTATAATTTCAGAATATATATATATATATATATATATATATATATATATATATGTGTGTGTGTGTGTGTGTGTGTGTGTGTGTGTGCCTGTGTCTATATATATATGTATATATGTGTGTGTGTGTGTGTATATATGTTTTGTATGTGCGTGTGTATATATATATATATATGTGCGTGTGTTTGCGCGCGCGTGTATATATATATATATATATATATATATATATATATATATATATATACAGTAAAGGTAACAAATCCGGTGGTATAGGTTCGGTTTGTTTTGTTTTACGGCATAACAACCTCAATGGGTCATTTAATGCCGACAACTTTTTTTCCAGGTAATATTTTTGTTTTGTCAAAAATCTATTTCTGGTAATATTTGTTTCCTCAAAAATGTATCGCTGGTAATAGTATTTTAAGAAATGTATCACTGGTAATATATTTTTTTTTTCAAAGACTTATTGCTGGTAATAGTTTTTTTTTTCTTCAAAAAATTATTTCTGGTAATAATTTTTTAAC